AAGTGGGGAAATTCCCTTTTCAATCAGTTATATATATGCACTAGTTAAAGTAATGTAACGTTTTCAGCTTGTGTGAGATATCCATATTAATCTTTATATTAATATCCCTGGTGTGATATTATTTGTAACCTGCAGTTGTAGCCCTGAGAATTGCAACATGTAAATTGGGCGTCCGTACTTTATTTTTGATGAAATATGGATATAAAAGTTTTGAAAGCAAAACGAAAGTCGCTGAGAACAGCTTTTACGGTATGCTGCAACGATATAGCTCAGAAGATCGAAAACAAAAGTTTAGGAATTGACGAAGTCAGTACGTTGTTTCGGCTGATTCAGGACAAATTCTCACGTTCGGAAACAACTCAAGCAGAAGTTTCGAATTTGTTGCTGAGTGAGGATACTCTTCAAGAAGACTATTCCGAAGATTTTTTGAAAGCAGAAGAATACCGTGACAAGTTCTGCTTGATCTGTTCGCTGTTAGAAATTTTGAGGGCACTGTATGACCATAACTTTGAAGTACTTTCTCAAAAACAAAATATGTGGATGTGCTCCAAAAGTAGTTGATCCCAATACCCTGAAAGAATTAAAAGAAAGAAATATTACCTTGTCTGAAATTGCAAGCTAAAGAATATGACATTGAATTGCTTTTAGAAGCAGATGCCATCAAGGGCACATTATTACTGGCAGCTTCTTTGAAACTGAACTCGGGTGTAACTGTAGTTGAGACTTAAATTCGGAATACACTGTGATTGGTAAAGTAAACAGCTTATCTAAGGAACCTACTTCAGCTACTATTCCAGCATTACTAGACAATAATTTGTGCAATAATGTAGTTTTTCGTTGCATTGTGCTAATCTTAGCGTAACCGAAACTCTGGAATTTAGATGCCATTGGCATAACAGACCCAACTGAAGATGTTAAACGTAAACTTGCTCACTCTGACACCATTAAGCAATTTAAAGAGAATTTAAATGTTCTTCCTGATGGCCGATACGAATTGCCACTACCCTTTAAATCTGAAATTCTGTTACCTAACAATAAGTCTATGACTTTTAAAAAGGCATCAAGAATGTGTCAACGAATTAATGAGGAAAATCAGTTAGATGATTATAAGGTAGTTTTTAAGGAATGGGAAGACCTCAAAGTAATAGAAAAGGTTCCTGAAACTGAAATTGATAATTTAAGTTATTATTTGCCCCATAGACCTGTTATAAAGCATACTAGCCAGACAATGAAGGTAAGGCCGGTGTTCGACGCTTCAGCCCGAGAGAGAAATCAACCGTCCCTAAATGATTGTTTAAATAGAGGGCCGAACTTAATTGAAACTCATACCTGATATAATTGACAGGTTTAGATTGTATTCTGTTGGTTTATCATCGGACATAGAGAAAGCATTTCTTCAGCTGAGTATTATCCCAGAACACAGAGATTATTTGAGGTTTTTTCTTCCAACTCTTGAAGAAACCTATGATTTACAGACACTGCAGAGTGGTGTTCGGCGTTTTGTTCGTCTCCGTTCCAACTCTCTGCATCGATAGAGCATCTCTTGGATAATTCCCTGCTAAGTTTGATTGACGATGTGACCCAAAAATTAAAGCATTCGTTTTATGTTGACAATTGTGTCACTGGGGTTCACGATATCAAACAGCAAGAAAATTTTATAGTTAAGGCTAACAGAAGTAATAGGCTCGGGGATGTTTTAACCTACGGGTTTGGGAAAGTAATGTTCCAGGTCATTGTATTTCCCCGTAGTTCAGGTATAACTTCTCTTCTTGGAATCTTATGGGATTTGGATAACGATACATTAAAATGTAACTTAATTAATTCAATGGATAATGAGGTAAGTAAACGTAATATTTTGGCTATGGTACATAAAACTTTTGATCCGCAGGGATTTTAGAGTCCAACTACCTTGTTAGTTACTATTACAGAGTTACAATTACAGAAAGCTTGGACTATGAAATTAAAATGGGATGACTCCTTGCCAGACAGCATTCAGAAAACTTTTCAGAAGTGGCAGGATGAAATTAAATATCTTGAGAAAATTAGTTTTCCACGATATGTAGAGATAAATGTTGATGCATGTAAGAGCTCCTATGGTGCATGTGTTTACAAACTTAGAACTGTAGTAACGCCCGTGGGAGTCAAAATTCGATTGATCAGAGCCAAATCCAGGGTAGCGCCGTTAAAATCTCTGACAATACCCCGGTTAGAATTGATGGCCTGTTGCATTGGCGCGAGACTGGTTCACTCAGTATACGCCGCCTTAGATTTGCCTGATTTGAAAATTATTGCATGGAGTGATTCTATGGTAGCACTCTGGTGGATTAAGAACTGTGGTGATTGGTCAGTTTTCGTTGCGAATAGAGTAAAAGAAATAAACAGTCTGATTCCTTCTCAGTGTTGGCGCCATCTACCAGTGATTTTAAACCCATGGCAGATATGCTTTCAAGAGGCTGGTGGGAGAGGTTAGTTCGTGTAGTAAAGGAACTGTTGAGAAGGACACTCGGTAACGCGGTTCTTACAACCGAGGAGTTGTACACAGTATTGTGCGACTGCGAGTCAATAATTAACTCTAGACCTCTTACCTATGTGTCGGAAAATCCGGATGATTTAATCCCACTTTCCCCAGCCATGTTTCTCATCGAGAATCGTAGCTTAGGTGTTCCTGATGTTGATTTCTGCGATTCGAAAGGTCTTAATGATCTTCGAAAAAAATGGGCTAGGGCTAGACATCGCCAAAAACTACTTAATGATTTAAGGCATAGATTTAGGAAAGAATATTTAGGCCTTCTGGTCCAAAATAAGAAGGATCCATCGTCAGAGCTACGGTTGGGTGAAATTGTCCTAATAGGAGATGACATCAAAAAAACGGATGCATTGGCCTTTAGCTAAGGTCATTCGACTAATTCCTGGGAAAGATGGCAAGGTGAGAACTGTAGAACTGAAGACTCAAGCTGGTACGCTGCTTCGTCCCATTCAGCGAGTCTTTCCATTGGAAGTGCAGTTAACGGACACACCCACTTCATCCCATACACGATAACTCTTTTACTAATCCTATTTTCTTCTATTTCTAGTGATGAGCATTCAGATTCTAATGACTCTTTAAATGACTCTAGTAACATCCTGCAAGGTGCTAAAGTGTCAAGATTTGGACGTGTGATCAAGGTGCTCAGAAATTGGATCTTTTCGACCAGGTACTGTATGTCTTTGAGCCAACCTGAAGTCGACTCAAAGAGGGGGGGAAATGTTGGAGCCGGCGGCTGAGACGACGACATAACGGCTCGGCGAGGTCAACAGAGGAGGCTCCGCATTCATTGGACTATTTTTTATTATTCTTATTTTTTCTTTAACTGCGAACTAAGCGGGGAAATTCCCTTTTCAATCAGTTATATGTATGCACTAGTTAAAGTAATGTAACGTTTTCAGCTTGTGTGAGATATCCATATTAAATCTTTATATTAATAATCCCTGGTGTGATTATTTATTTTGTAACCTGCACGTTGTAGCCCTGAGAGTTGCAACACTCATATTTTCCAGACTGCTATCTTAATAAAGCGAATTTCAGTTTTTCCTCTGTCTACTGTATTCAAGTATATTAAGTAAAAGCCTTTCAAGGTATACCTACGGCTTCAAGAGGCGTCTGTTTTGTTTTAAAGCAGCATTTGCTTGGTTCTCGTTACAGCAAACATCTTGAGTTTGAACAACGCAGCTCAGTAATGGTTTATAGGTTATGCCAGAAAGCACTTCTTTTCTGCTGAAATCCTGTCATTCAAAGGATTTTAATTAGCCCCAGCCTTATTTTCTGCAAGCCTCGGCAATTAAACCGCCTTATTTCAACCGATCCCTTCATCAATGTTTTTGAGGACCGTGTTTCTTTTTTTGAAGTAAAATTTGTCTGCAGCTGGTTATTGACCCCGATATATGACTTGTTAAAAGTAGCCTAACTATATGAGCCAAGTGTTCGTGGATTCAAACCTCGGAAGGAAATCTGTCTTCAGATGAAAACAGTATTAAAGGAATGAAGTAACATCGATTTAATAAAAGAACGATCACTTTTTAATGATAACAGGGATTCATGTACTTATTATTAATGCGTTCCTTCGAAGTTCTCCCAAAACAATTTTTAGAATGATCTACTTTGCTTACATTCTTAGACTCGAAACGCAGGTTTAAACTCAAGCGAATGGAGTGATTGCATGAATGTTTTCGTAGGTTTTTCCAGATGTAACAAAAATATAAGCCAGTTTGCTTTAAAAAATTTCTGAACGAAGACACCCCTCTCCTTAGGTAGATACACTTCGCGTGCAGTATTCAAATAAAGAAAGAAACAGTCACAGGATCAATACTAAATTAATATCTGCTCGGGATAGTATACATATGACATCGGCATAGGATTAACTAGTTATTCTCATACGATCAACACGATGAAAAGGTAAATATTACTGTAATAATGAAATACTGCTTAAGAGGATTAATGCGTGTTTGTTACCTGTACAGAGTCGTCAAAGGTATACGCTTGATACCAATCCAACGACACACTGAAGGATTGCCAACCGTAGGATTGACACTGGAGAGAACTGACACAGGAATAGGACCAACACTGTGTCAAAATCGAACTGGTATTAGTCTTGATACGTGTCGTAGGATTAATAGCGTCAGAGATTGATACATATTTAAATTAGACATTTTTTTACTTAATTTAGCAACAGCACTTGATAAGAGGATAAGAATTTTAATAAATTATTTTTTTGGGTAGATACTATTGTAGGATTGATACCGGTGACGAACCTGTATCGCATTCCCACTAATTTCCTTAGTTCTACTTGGAGTTTCATAACGCTTCGCTAATATATTTCGGAATCAACTATGAGCATTTCTAGAAAACTTCATAATGCACTTAAATGATTTATGTAATATTATATAGTTGCCCGTAATATTGTAATTATCTTATTGATTTATATATTGTAGCTAATCTGCTGAAGGAATTTCTATATACTCACCGTCTGTAAGCGATTTTTCTGTTATCCAAGTCATGCCTTGCTGTATCTGTGCTAACTGTTGTCGTGCCATCATTTAGAATTGGATAATCCGTGGAGTTACTCGATGCTGTTGTTGTTAACACTTTTCTGCGACGGTTCTGAAATCGTCTTCTCTTACGAAAGTCTTTTGCTCTGGTTCTATCAGTGGAAAAGAGGCTGAGAGAACTGGATGAATTGCTTTTTAAACCAGACTGGGTTAATTCTAAATCTGTGATATCTTCAGAGAGTGGCGTTTCTGTCGGCGATCTTACAGATACGTGCGAATGTATATGACGCTGGAATGAAATCACAATTCATGAAGATTATTTTAAAATAATTCATAGCTCATTTTAATTTTATTCTTAGTTAATATTGTTTTTAAACAGTTAGACATAAAAGTTAAAATAACCACTATTCGCTTTGATTAATTAAAAGTAGGCATGGCAAAGTGTTCAAACTATTTATGCAACTTCTTAATTCTTTAATTATTTAAATTTGCTTTTCAGAATTGAATCTTTATTTCTATAAATCTACAGTTATTTGAAGAGATATTTAAAAAAAACTTGAAACTTGTTGAACTGGCATCAATTATGAGCTAAAACATTTCTTGAACAGAGAAATACGCCAGAAATTTAGGTTACCAAGGATGACTTGTGGGCATTATTAGATTTTAAATAAAATTTTACTGGTTTAAAATCATTGAAATAGTTTTTTGAATTACACTTAAAGCGGAATTTTTTATTTTTATTTATTTATTTATTTAGAATTTGTCTTAAATTCATTAATTAGAAACTTAGAAGGTTAAGAAGCCCACAAAACAGAAAAATCTGAATACAAAACAAAATGAACAATGAAAATGGAATGTTTATAGCTTGGAAACAAGAAATTAATTTTTATAAGGAAAAAATTAATTAATTCATTTGGAATTAAATTGTAAATTATTATACTCATTCTAAGTAAATGAGGCTATAATAATTTTACTAACATTTGTAAGTCAAATTGTAAAAAACAAAACATTAGTTAGCATTCTGTTACAATTTTGCTTTGAAACAGTTAATTTTATTACTTTATTTATATGTATATGTACTTATTTTTGGAAGTACTCGAAAATTCATGTCACGAGAAGTTTTATTTTTCTACTTTCACTGGAAAATTGAATGAAATTACATTTTATATTTTTTTAACTGCATTAAATGGTATCTATATTTTATGTCTAGTCGTGAATAAGTTAAAATTAGGAGGTGTTTTTGTAAAAATAATTGAAAATATATTAAGACATGGAACCATTTGATAAAATTATTTGCTCTGGAACTTCGGCTCTTCAATAACATACTATAAATAATCTGGAGTGCAACAGGATTAAAACAATTTACTGTTGAATGAATATTACCTTTATGGCTGTCAGTGGTACATTTGGTACATCTAACACTCTTCCTACTCTTTTATGTTTCCTGTATTTCTTCCCTTCAATCGCATCGTATTCGGCAGAAACTTCTTCAAGTTCCTCGCTGTAATCTGGATGCTCTTGCTTTGGAGTTGTCGGCGTAGTATTCTTTTCACTATTAGACGAAGTCGTCTTGGATTTATTTGCATTATTATTCTCTCTAATGGACCATGAATCATCTGTCGTAGTCAGCTGAGTTAATTCTGTGTCCCGCAGAGGCTTAACTGTAGTAACTGGCGCTTTTTTTGTAGTGACTAGAGCTTTAGTGGGCTTAGATCCCTTTCCAGGTGTATGGAAAGTTGAGATGAAAGTTGGCTCTTTGTTATCGCTTTCATGGGCCCTATTCATGTAGCTTAACAGATCTTCAAGAGTCATCATGAGATTTGATGGGTCCCTAAAGGGATTTTTAATTATTATGGACTTGGAAGTATTTTGCTTTTGTCCGTTTTCAGTTTGATGTTTCGTTTGATATTTAGAGTTGAACACCGTAGTTTTTTTCGAATCTGTTGGCTTGTTGCTTTTTGAAGGAACTGAACCCTCTTTACACAGTTTAGTGTTGAGAGGTGTTTTTTCTTCGCATACCAACGACAACTGGTTAAATAAGGAATTTGAAGGACAGTGGAAAGTATTTCGGATTCCATCAGGCTTGCAGTAGTGGAAGACTTCGCAGTTAAATTTAGAATCTGTAAAATATCCAGTTTTACCTCGGCAGTCAAAAGTTACTAGAGGCAATACTTTTCTTAAAGCGTCGGATTCTTCATTTGAAGACTTGGCAACAAGTGGCCCTGATGGATACCATGGACTCGACGTAGCAAACTAATAATAAATAAATTGTTAAAATATTATTTGATTTGTATACATATTTATTTAAAAATGCATTTTAAAATTATCTTTCTCATCTAATTAATTATTAGCAACATTACAGTCTTGACAACTAATTCAATTTCTTTTCTTACAGCAGCTTACTAAAGCTCATAGCTTTTAGTAGAGATAAATTATAAAATATTATAAACTAACCAACCATCCTAGAAGCTGTTGATTTCTTTCCGAATACACTTTTTAAAATACTCTGATTATGTTAATTCAAACTGTTTATAAAATTAAGGCATTTTAAAATTAATTTTATGCTTCGATTCTTTTACTACGTAGAATTGTGCAGTTATTTACTATGCACTGTTTTTCTTAAGCATTTTGGAATTCTGTTATTAAATTTCAGTGTTATTTATTTCTTAATAATTTATCTACTCAGAATGAAAGTAAATAAAGTTCGACACATGAATTTTTTAGTATTTATTTGTGATATGATTTATTAAATTAAAATATCCTGTTTCTCTGTTTAAAATTTATCACAATTTCTTTTCTAAGATGAATTCTCACAGTTTTCTATAACTAACATGTTGCTATAATATGAAAGATAAATTACAGATATTATAAAAGTTATAAGGTATCTTTTCCATGAGCCGGGCTCATATGTTATATTGCCAGGTAGAAAAATATATCCGTCAGAGGAGCACATAATAGCGGAGCGCATAAATTATTTTAAACAGAGAAAGAGGATAAGATTTACATATCCCATTCTCTATGCTATTTGTATTTTACTCTTATTTTTGTGAATAATGTGCGTGAATGAGTAATTTGTATATCTAAACAAGCAAAAAAATTTTTTTGTTTAAAAAGCTAAAAATTGTTTATGTTCTCCAAAATTATTTTAAAAGTACATCTCTTTATTCTCTCGTCATCGATTATGCAAAATAGGATATTAAGTCGCGATGAGCCATTCCTTGATATTTTTTATTTTGCTTTTCCAATAATCTTTCAGACATTTTGCTTGCGCTCCGTAGACCATATAGACAAAAATGTAATCGTTATAAACTTTAAAATGTTGATATCCATCAACTTTTAAGTTTATTATGTAGTAAGTTGTCTAGTAATCAAAGTCAAATGTCTGGAACCATATTCGATTATAAATACGTCTTTTGTGTTGCAACATAGAGATATATTGTACCACCATGTGTTATCATTATTAAAATATAATTTACTCTGGTGTTTGTTTTAATAAGTTTAATGTCAAAAGACAGTTTTTTAGGGAGGAAAATACAGGGTTTTTTTTTTCTCCTCTTGTAGGTAAGTCCTAATTTTTATGATTAAAAATTTAAATTTAACATAATTAACAAAAAATACTTTATATTTTTGTATTTCAGGTTGAAAAATTTGCGCTAATAAAATAATTGTATGCTTATAGTATCATGGACTCTCAGAAAGATGCAGTATTAATGTATCTTCTGCCCGCAGATATTTTTGTGTTTTGTGATATTTTGCATCTGCCTAATGGAAAAATATGTATTATTATTAACAGCAAAGCTTAAAGTGAAACATTATGAAAGGATTATAATAATTTTATATACATTAATTTATGTTATTAATAATTAATTCAAGATATGTAACTGAATTATTTTGATATTTATATTGATCCAAATGACAACCTACCCTTTAATTGCTTTTCTAAAAATCGTACTCATTTTATATGAGCAACTTTACATCTGAAAAATAAGCTAAGTGATTATTTATCACTTAAATTTTAATTAAAAGAAAATTTATTCAATTAGCCTACTCTTTAATTGTTGTATTTACGTTACTTATCCTCACCTTAGATATTTTTGACTATCTCATTACTTTAGATGAACAAAACTATCTAAGGCAATAAGATAATTATCTTTCATGGCTGCCTGAAATGCAGAATTTGCACTCTTCCCCGTTTTACAACGTCAGTGCAAGTTTTTCTCATGTGAACCCATTTTATATTTACAAAATTAAGATATGTAAAGTAACGTACAGATTATTCTGTTAGAATATTATTATTAATGAAGGAAATATTTTGGTTAATAATATTTATTGCTATTAATATAAAACGATGTTTTTAAGCAGGATTTAATATAAGTTTATAAACTTCTGATGCAGAACGTCGTTACTTAGAAAAATTGAGTGCAGAATCAAACGAGAGAGAATAATTTCAAGTTTAATTTCGGTTCCTTCATTAGTATCACGATAATAAAATAAAAGAATAGCTCTAAAGAAGCTCCAGCGAAGAAAAGCAACTGGCACTTGAAAAGCAGAAATCAATTCACTTGATACCTTGTTGAATACCTGGCCTGCAGAGCTTGTATTCCTCTTTATCACTATATTCATAGCTACAAAGCTTTTGTTCCTCAATTTTATGCGCTTTAAAGCTTCTAGCGATTTAGAATTTAACATTGTTTTATGGTTTTAATTAGGCTCTTTATAAGATTCCTTACTCCGCTTCTTTTTCACTACCATGTTTATCATTATACCAGAAAGTGTTATTTTATGCAAATTATTTTAGCTTTTATAACATTAAAAGAACGAGCAAGACGTCTTTTCGCAAAACTTACTTTGGAAAATCATTTGCTCCAAAGAAGAATTCAAACAAATATATTAGCTAAATCTTTATAGTAGTATGTAATTAACTGGATAGTGTCAGAATTAAATAATACTTCTAAATAAATGATTTAATTTATTATATATTAGTTTTATGTATGATTTATAATATAGATGAATAAAATTGAATGAAATTTATTGAGTCATATATTGCATTTACTATTAAGAAATGGTTTTTTGGCCATTAACCATATATTCGCTCTTTTCTTTTACTTCTTTTGTCTTATTATACTTTCAATTCTTTGAAAATTTCAGAAAAATTCCTCTTTATTATTTTTCTGAAGTTTTGGTTTCATTTTTTATGATACCACTTCAAAACCTTATCTTTAGTGCTATCTGCTTTAGAGAAAATAACAAATCGAACACCTGTTAAAAATAACTGTTTAATATTTCACAATATTAATATTTTGTCTTTTATCATAATTATGAATTGAGATTATACCATTGAATTGAGATATTATTTAGTAGCATTTTATTTCTTATAAACCATTGCTTATTATTTGAGGTGTATTCTTGTTTACTAAACTGTCTCCTAACTGTAATAGAAGAATACAGATGGTTTATAGGAAAGGAGAAGGCACTATATTTTGTCAAGAATTCATTTGAAATTTTCGCTCAAATTAGTTTTATACAAACTGAAATTCTTAGCCCCTTTATTTAAGATATATATAGTACAGTCGTATAACACATGTGGCATAGTTGGCATAAAATTACCTTAAGAAAAGAATTGAAAAAAAGTCTCGTGGAACTTATTAAAAACTTTAATTGAACTCCGTAGAAAGTTTTTATGCTAAGGTAATTTTATACGGACAGTACAGACAGTAAAAATGGAAAAAAAGATTTTCCATTTTTCTTTAAAATCTTATTCAGCTGCTGTACAAAGGATACATTTTTAAAGCTTGCAGACAAATGAACGTTCTAAATCTAAACTTAAGATTGAAAGTTTGTTTGGGATTATCATAATAGTTCCAGAGAAATTAGACATATATTTTTTTTTTTACTTTCTTTTGGCGCACGCTTTGCAAACTTTCCTTCTTTTTTTCATCGATGCATTTTGTAACAAAATCCAATGCGGGACAATGCACAAAGGCCAATGTAGCATGGAAAATGGTTGGTCTTAAAAATTAACCCAAATTGTGACTGAAAATTCCTGGCAGTTTCTGGGAGTAGTGAAGCGTATCTCGAGCATTGTTGATCTTGAAAGCTTTGAAGATGATCTTCGGTTCGAGCATCGCTGCTTTTTGGTGTCGGAAAAATAACGAGAGCAGTGTTTCAAGACTCATTTTGGGAAAGAATTTTTTCTCCGGGCAACTTGTCCTCTTGAAATTACTTTCGTGGGAAACTATTTTCAACATTTTCATCTTTCGTGCACTAAATTCCCCGTTTACATAACATTTCTTGATTTAGGCAAGTTAAAAAACAATACCCGAAGTCTTTTGGGGTAGTTTTTTAAAGCATAGAATAATTGCAGAATGTATGATAATTTGATCAAGATCGTCTTGTTTATTTGGGTAACAATGAGTAGAAAAAGTTAAATCCAGTTTGAGAAAATAATTGAATTTCAAATTAATCTCCTACTCAGATACTTAAATAAGCTTGTTTGTAGGATAATTCTTTTAATAGGATCATCATTTTAGTATGAGAAACGAGGCTAATGAAATATTTATTTCCATTGAGACCCCAGTTTTAGATAGCTTTGTTTATCAGAATCTGTTTTCTGGTCGTATATCCACCACTGCTCCATCGATTGAATTTCTTCAAATAAATCGAAAGGTTGGTATCCAATAAATCATTTTGAGGCACCAAGTACATCAAAATCCGTATGTTTGTAAATTACAGATAGAGTGCATGCACAAAAAATTTATTGCAGGCTATGTATGTACTGTTTTGCGACTATTAAGAGCTCTAACAAATGCAATACTTTTGTGCCATAGTTCACGCATGGAATTAAGTTTTCGATTATTCTGATCATTCGTGAAGGGCTGTAATCCCAGAAATCGATGAACAAAGTATACTAAAACTATACCACAATAAAAGAAATGCGTTGATATTCTCAGTACTTGTGTTAAAGTTAACTAAGATTTTTAACGAAATTTTTACAGTGTAACCATTTCTTTTCGCTGTGTAAAAATATTCATAGTCACATTTATTTAAATTTCAGTCTAATACCTGAAACAACTGTAAACTAAATAGCTGCAACGATAGGTCTACTAATTTAAGATTGACTTAGTAGAATTTCAACACACAGAAAATAAATCATGTATTTAAAACGAGCTGCTCAAAATAGTAATTACCAAGTGGTAAGATAAATTATATTGCTATACGGTTTCATTACAAATTACTGCCACTACACGACTGTTGTCCTTATTTATTTAAATATGGCCGTGAATTTTTCTTTCATTGGATCCTTCATGAGGTTTGTAATGATGAAATAGCAGAATTTCGATCTTGGTAGGACGTGAAATTCGTTTAGCGAACAAAACAACACATGATTCGTTGTTAGTGTTAAAAATGTATATGCTACTTTTCGATCATTTTTTCATGCATGTTATTATTTTTAGATACGTGAATCTACCTTTCACAATCTGGTAGTGAAATAATCGATTACATTAGGCTCCCAAAACAATAAGTAAGCAAAATTGAAATAACGAAAATCCTTTAACGTCATAGCGTTTTTAATTCTTCTTCTTATTTTTAGTCCAAAAGGACCTATTAGTCTCGAAGTGAGATTTTGAGTTGGTTTACTATAAATTGTTGTTACCAAATATTATCGTCATGTATTATTTTTAAAGAAATTAGACAATGAAGAATTTCCATGTATGTATGTTCCTTGCGTTGTAAAATAACGACGTTACCTAGCGCCATCAAATTTTGAATAACTCTCCACCCGAGCATATGCACTGGAAACCCTAATTTTGAATCTCGAATTTGTTTTATTATTTATTTCGAATTTAGGATTAACAGACTCAACGATATGAAACGGAGCAGTGGCAACACTATTCGAAGTAAGCCATTTTTATCTCCAGCGCGCAAGACTGTTGCCATTCGGAAAAATGTAAGATATTTATCTTTCAACTCAAATTAACAAAGCGGCTCTATGAAAGCAATATGTTTCCGCAACCGGAAATAAAATGCTCTTCCACATTCCAGCGTGTTGCCATTCAGAAAAGCCTAAGATATTTTCAAATTTAATCTGGAAGGTTACTGAGTAATAAACTAAGCAATTTAAAGGCAATTGAGAATATTTTTTTCTATTTTTTAATGTGGTGATTTAAATAAAGATGCATTAAAAATCATGAGATGTGTAATTAGAAATATTTAATAATTTTATGAAATTACACTAGCTGGACTTATTAAAATCATTATATACATTTTCTTTTTAATGATAACTATTTTAGGCTAGTTTAAAGAAATAATATAGCAAATGCAAAAATATCTATGGCAATCTCCAACACTCTATCGCGAATTTTAATGATACGCTGGGGTATATAATTTTATGTGGTGTAAGTGCAAAGACCATATTATTTAATAAATGAAGTTAACACATAAAAAGTTAATAATAAGAAGACAAAAAATGTTATCCATTTTACTAAGAAAATTGAATATTGACATGATGAACTGAGCAAAACCTAAAAAAGAAAAATGTATGGCACAGTCGGAAATTGTAAACATCTGCTGCTATGCAGCTTTTAAAAATTTTGTGATTTTGAAGTGTATGAGTCTTAAGTGCGAAAAAAAAAAAAAGATGCTTTCTAATAACGCCGAAAAGAAAAAAAAAAAGTTAGCAGGAGTGAATGCAACAGCAGATTGATAGACTGTGAGCTCAGCGAGAGCGTAAGAAACCTTAACAAACCCACTTGTGCGACCGTTTTAGATTTTTTTAGGCACTGGTGAAACCTTAATCTAAAACAGAGAGTAAAATTAGGCCAATAAGCTTGAGAACTGAATACGATTAAAATAAAATGAATGTTTTTAAAAAAAATCATAAATATTACATTGCTCTGAATTTCGAATGATTGGTAAGATGTAATTTTTGTCTTTTGGCCATGTATATTTCCCACTTCAATGAAAGCGGAAACATACAAGCAGTATTTCATTAGACAATCCGCAGGTGTAATCATAATTGCTATTATATATACACTATACAATCGAGACACAAAGAAAGTCATAGGTGATTTGTTATCATTGAAATCGGATCACTTTCAACTTCATTCAAACAGTGATTTGTTGAAACTGGTGCAGCGATTGCTATCTTTCACTGGGCGTTTGTTTACTCTGCTTTAAGACGGAAGTGTGGCCTCGGTACCACAGCGGCCACTTTTCGGAGGCTATATTCATCAAGGCCGACATTCCTAACCTAATTTCAGTCTTCTTGAGGTCTGTTTGGCGTCATAAATAAATAATGATCTTTTAACTGAAACCAGGAATTACTATTTAGCATTTATAAAAATGAACCTGAAAGTTTACCAGCTCAATTTGGAGAAACAAGCAACAGAGAAAAATTATACCTGAAAATTATTTCCAACGCCATTGACTCCCCTGTCCAGCAGAAGAGCTGGAAGGAAAAAAAAAGCATAAATTATTCACTTTTTTTTATTAAAAAAGTCATTAATAACGCCAAATAACTCATTTTTTAAAATGACATAATTAGTAAAGTTTTGTATACATATAATGGTTCTGTTAGCTAAAGATACTCAATGCTTTTAATTCCAGACTGTTTACGATTGCTAAAATTCTATAATTCTGTAAATAAGCCTTTTAGATCTTTGCATTTTCCATTAACTACTGATCCATCGCATTATTATCATGTTCATATGACTGTTATTTACTAGTGTGGTACTACTTTTTTTCTGGGCATCAACTGATACATTTACTTAATCTTTTTGAGTGACTGATGATGGTTCTGCGAAATAGCTGACAAATACTGTAACACATATATTTGATCTATCAAATTTAAACGTCATTATCATGTTCAAATTTCGTGAAGTATATAATATATGCTGTAATTTTCAGCTATAGCAAAATCATTTCCCAATAATAAAAGAATAGACTACATTTGTTATACTTAGGACTGAAATTATTTCTCATATTTTGGTCAAAATGTGGAGGTTATAGTGATACATTTTGACATATGTTATACGAGTACAAAGTGTTGCAAAATAGAGCAATGATTGCATTCAGTTTTCTTTCATTGAATTAGTTGTAGAAAACAAATGTTTCACATGGTATTATGAATACATGAATTAGATGTACGTTTTAATAAATAAATAGATAAAGTAAAAATAAATTAAAATAAGTGAAGGAAATAAATAACTAATGGTACGAAACATGACGTGCAAAATTAAATCTTAAAAACAATATTCAAAACTAAAGTAATATATAAAAATTATGCAGTGAGATACTTAACAAAATCTGTAAGTGTTTAGAACCAAAAGCACAGTATTTGGAAAATACATGTAACCTTCTTAATTTCTAGATGAAAAACCTGTGAATGTATTGAGTACATCGCAGAGTGCAACAACGAATAGGCCTAGAGCTACAAAATTTGGAACATATATTGCCCGGATGACGAAGATGTGCACTTCAAAGAAATTTTTCCAAAATTCGATTTAGGTTCCCTCCTCTTCGATTTTTTACACATACCTTCTGTTTAACGAACAACCAGAAAATCTCAGTGTTTTAATGTTTTGATAGCGTGAAAAAAAGTCTTTTAAATGCAATTAATAATTATAATGAACCAAAATTTTAACATAATTTACTAACTTTTAGAAAGTTTTTGAAATTTGCTCGATTTTTTTCGACCATTATATGTCTATTATTTCAAAATTCCAACATTTAAAATTGTGTTCGTTATGAAATTTTTTCACCGGATATAAAGCAAAATCTTCGCAGTCTTTTGAAAGAAGAAAGTTAAATTGTTAATTATGCAGTTCTAGGACTTTTCAAATATGCTGTAGTATGATTAAAAGCAAAAGTGAAAGTTCCCATTTTTTCTTCGGTCTCATATGGTTTTCCTTGTGAACATGATTTCGAGGATATGAAATTATTATACGTCATTCTAATTTTTACCTCCTTATAAATTTCTCTAATATTTATTTTATTTATTTATTAAGTGATCTTCCCCCCCCTTGATAGAAAGAAACATTTGCAAAGAAATTAGGAAAATTTATAATTATATATATAATTATATATATAATTATAAATATATATATTTTTTTGAAGATGCATTTTGCATATAATGCTTTCAAAGTACGTGAAGGTTATGCAACTCCTGGAAATGATGCTTTTATGGAGAAATTTCAAGCGTAAACTGGCTCCTGTTTACATTGATGAAAGGAAAATCCCTAAAATCCATGCAGCGTGTCTTTTTATCGGGTTTGAATCTGGGTAGATTTGTCAATGTATATGCTCACTAATAATTAGTTTCCAAAGCGATTCTTCTTTTTTTCCATTTTGAGGAAAATAATAATAAATATGTGCGCATAGCCGATAGCTAAAATTACTGCCTAAGAATAACCAATAGTTCATTTTTATTTCTATGTGACATGAACGAATATCGTGTTAAAACCTTCTTCTTACTCTTGCATATATACAGGGTGACCCAGAAGTCCGTGAACATTTGAAAGTTCATCAATAATTCATGGAATAATGTGGATAGAGTGGTTAAAACTGTACACATGTTAGAAATGACATCGAGTTTCATTGAAAGCTAAAAAATTCTTAAAAAAAGGCCAACATATGACCGTGGGCAGCAAAATATCAGTAACGGCGCATGAAAAGCGTGTATGAAATGAGCTGTAGTAAGAAGGAATCAGTCCCTTCATGACTCTGGCCAATTTTCTATTCTCGTCTCCAGGTGTTGGTCACGGTGTGATGTGGATTCATCACATCAATCGTGATCGGACTCTTTTTTTTTTTTTTTTTTCCAGAGGAAATGCTATTCAAACTGTCAATGGTCGGGCGCCAGGTACGCTGGTATGTTACAGAATAACATCATCCCTAGTATGGCTGATAAAAACCGTTGGAAGATATGACTTTTATTCAGGACGGTGCTCCTCGCCATATTGTTACACGTATGAAAGATCTCTTGCACACATCGCTTGGTGAGGATCGCGTGCTGAACCGCCACTTCTGCCATGCTTGGCATTTCAGGTCCCTAGATTTCAATCCCTGTGATTATTGGTTGTGGGGTTACTTGAAATCGCTTCTACCACGATCGTCTAACTTCATTAGGGATGCTAAAAGACAACATACGACGGCAGTTTTTCACCATACCTACAGATATGCTATACAGTGCTGTTCACGACATTGTCCCTCGACTATATTGTTGATAAATGACGAACGACATGCTGAACATTTGTTACAAAAGAACAATGTTTTTGCTAAAAATCAATTGTTATGCTAATTATTGCTCTCTTTTTTGCTTTCAATAAAACCCCGTGAAAGTTCAAGCATGTATGTCAGTTTTACCTCTCTACCTATACTAGTCAATGAATTACTGAATTTTTAAATATGAACGAACTTTTGAGTCACCCTGTATGTAAACTAACTATGAATGAGTTAATCACAGACTTGCCAGATAAATAAATAAAAAAGAAGCGAAAGTATTTAAAAATGAATTGAAATTATGTAAAAATTACAAAATGACTTTAATTCGAGGACTGCACAACTTCGATATCGGCTTCTTTCTTACAAATTTATGATCAGCGTCCCCCCTTCCCCCCCAAAAAAGAGAAAAAGCATAAAATTTCAATCTAAAATATTCAGATTGCAGACTAATATAAGTTTACTATGAATGTTTCAAAAAAGTTAAAAACAAAATGTTTATAACTAAAATAAATATAAGCTTATAAAAAAATAGCAATGTAGGGTTCAGTTTAATGTCGGAAGCAATTTTAAACTAAGGACTTATGATAGGCCCATTGTTGAAGAATTAATCTCCCAGAAATTAAAAGTAGTATTAAAAGATCTGTTCAAAAGCCTAGCTAAATCATTGGAAAAACTATTTTGCAGTGATTTTGTTTTATCTTCAATTAACCCAATGTACAGACGTGCATTTATTTCAGAAGTAAATGGTTTCATTATTCTAGACCTAATTTATTTGATTGAATCGCTGACGCATTAGGCTTGCAATGAATATTTCCTTCGAACGGCAATACGTTTATTTTACCGAGAGACCAAATCCGCAAAGTGGAAACTATAAATACTACTTTAAAGAGGTTTCCTTTGAAATATTTTAAAAAAGTTTTCCTTATGAAAAGCTACTTAATGATGGCTGTCTTTCGTAAACAGGGAATATTTAGTTGGAAATTTCTTGTTGAATGGTGTCAAAATATATATTAATATTTCTTAAATCGTAAATATTGAAGGTGAAAATTTATACTCAGAAACTTCAATAAACTTCAAGAATTTTGCTTTTTTAATTAAAGGGAACGTTAATTTTATGAAAAACTGCCAAAGAAACCTTCTGCAGGAGTCTTTTGTGCTGTCGAATATATAAATATGTTTCACTGTGCTGATTCCAGTTGTATGCCTATTTCATTTAAACATATTTTCAGAACGCTAATCTAACCGCCCGCGCGAAAAGGTTAACGCTCGCTAATTCATAACCTTAAAAAAACATAACCTTAAAGAAATACTGTAACAAATAATGAAAAATCATTTCAAAGAAATAGTTTTAATTTTATGTGTTGAATTCACGTTTCATTTTACACATGCTTTTTATTAGCTCGTTTCAGTTTCATTTCTCAACTGAATGGTAGTCTCAAATCCCATCTGTCCTCGCATCGTTGCTCACAAGGAGAAAACACCAATTTATTTGTTACCTAAGAGTGTCTAGAAGTTTCCTATCTCATTAAAATAAGAGGCAGAGCATTACTGTTCATTGATCTTTAATTGAGAATGGACTACGCGGTCCAGTAAATTCTAATTCGCTTTCCTTATTTTCACTAGTTGTCCTATTTCATTTATGGCCTGTACTGTGCAGTATACGGATGAAAAAACATCATTATTTGACATCCTTGAGAAACATCATGAAACAACTACGCCTTCCACATCACACTTACTTTCTTTCATACATTTTGCAATACTGTGCTTTTCTATTTTTTTTAGCATGTGCTTTCCGCAAATCTACCAAGCATTTCTTAATTTCTTCTGCATGTTTCAGTATACGTGTCCAATTATAACAATTGCTAAATTATACTACTTATTAAAGTCTGAATTCTAAGAAATATTTTAGTTACAAAATGTTCTTTAAAGATTTTTAACTTTTTGATAGAGAGTAATAGAAATTCGCATGACCAGGTAACCAGTGACATTAAGTAAGTAGCTGCGCAGCTAGAATGTTAGATATTGCAATGAAATAATGGCAACAGCAGGTGCCTGCTTGCTAAATTAGAAACTTTGTATAGAACATTAAATTGGCAAAAATTAACGACAGACATAAATGAAACCACATTGATGTAAATGGTTTTCAAAGCAGGACCCTAAAACCTTCATCTGTAATGATCATGTTATTGCGTAACGCTGATTATTTTCAATTCATGTAGTTATTCAACTGTTATCCTTTGGGCCTATATGCTAGGACATTTGTCATCGTTGGACTGAAAAAGGTCCATGGTGAAACGTTTAATATCATCTTTGAATATCAACGATTTTTACATCTCATTGTTGTTCTGTCTATTGACGATAAATATCTACTTGTGGAAAAATGCCTTCACGGAGGCATATTTCCACAAGTAGATATTTATCGTCAATAAACAGAAAAATCTTACAAAAACTAATTCGTATTAAAATTGCATGCAGTGAAAATCGATGCAGCCAGTCTGTCCACCGAGAACTGAATGTGGGTTGAATACCAATATTTAGCGATTGTAGAAATCAAGCATCCATATTTGATTCAACTCGATAGAAATATTTTAGGAAATTATAAAATATTTCTCTCCATGTGCGTCAGATTTCATTCCGTAGTTTCCTCTTTGTTATTGTTCATGTTATTTATTTATTTAGGTAATGATGTAGAATGTGATCTACCGCTTTTAGTTAGTTATTTCTTCGATGTCATTACTACAGCGTTATTTTTAAATATGAACGAAAGTAAAAATAATTAAGAATACATAAAATAAAATGATTCCATTAATTGATTTAATAACCTCTCAGAACGACTGAATTGTTTAAATATTAGTACCATCTACAAAAGACTGAAAAGTTCGATGATTATAGGATACGATCGCAAAAGTGGTAGATGGCATATTACATCAATACCTTTGCTTTTTATACTCATTTTGCTATTTGAAAGTGTCTTGCTGTAATTACGTTTTGTTATAAAAATATTCCGACAGAAAGAAGCATATCGCAATTTGAATACAGAATTTAGTTTTCAACAGACAGTAATTAAAGAACAGATTATAACAATGAAATAACTTAACGACACGTGTCGGAATCTCTTTGTTGTTACGAAGACCAAGAAGTAATTGTTTCTTTTAACAATGGTGGGTACTATTTTCTTGAAAGACAAAGGGGTTTGATTTAGAATATCAAATATTGCAATCCAGTTTGCACCACATTTCGCGATTAAATTGATATATCGTTGTTGTGATCTCTTATTTTCGCAATGTTTCACGATGCATTATTGATGTACGGTTAATTTCGCTACATTGTTATAGTTGTGCAAGGAATATGGCTTGTTTTGTTAAGTTGTAATGATTATCTTAGCCAGTGTTGCTGTTCTGGGTGAGAAGGATATTAGGGTTATTTATTCATGATTGTTAAGGCAGTGTTTATATCATTTGAGAAGGAAAATGTTATGGAATTTCGAATTATCTCAGATGTTATTTTAAAGGAGACTTCGACTAGATGAGGATAACAAGTCCTATATAACCAAAAGAAGAGTTATTGTCTTGCACATCGTTGATCCTGTAACGACTGTATCTCAAATAAAATTTTAATAGACCGTGAATGATTATTTTTTTATCGTTTCATTTCCATGACTTCTACACTTTTCTTTTCTTTTTCAACAGGTCGAGATAATGATAGAAGTATTCCTGCCAAAGATATATGAATCATATTGGAAGATTTTACTACGATCTGATTTTTTCTAAATATAAGAATGAGAATATTTGCGTTCGTTTGTATAAATGTGCATGTGAAACAGTAACGGAGATATATTATTTCAGCAAAATATTGGAAATTTTTTATCATCGAGATATCTCATGCCCAAATTTCGTGTAGCTCTTCTAAAAGCTATTAAAATTTATTTGAGATTAACTGATTAGAACGTTTAGCTTTTGCTTTAAAATAACTGTTTACTCAACGATTTAATGGATTTCTTGAAATTAAAATAATTTCGTATTTCATGTTGCTCATATACACTGAGCAACTCTATAATATTCCTTTTTTTACGTAACCTTTCGTTCATTAACGTTGTGTGTATCACAGTTAACATTCCATAATTAGATATTTAAATTACTGACATGAAGATTGTTTTGAAATACCTGCACTGTACTACCTTATTACAAATCACGACCGTAAGTACAAAAAGACAAGTGCGATTTCGATCGCTGTATTTAATATATATAAAACGGGCGTTTGTATGAGTCAATGCATTTTATTACTTTAGTTCCCTCTTTAATTCATTACAGCTTAATAACAGAAATTATTTGATAACAATTGCGTAAATGATCTCTGTTACAATACCCATACCATCTCACTAAATCAACTAGAAGCGTCGTATTATAGAACCTCTCAGATTGCTACTTACTGGATGAGTTTAAAGATTTTGGTAGACTGACAAAAATAGTAGAAAAGCATTTAGAATTTATTGAATAAAAATGAAATGAAATGAAATGATTATCTAAATTTGTTTTTAACTTCTTATGCGACGTGAGGAAAATTCTACAATCACAAAATAGTTTCCTCTTTTTTTCTGCGTCAATTTTAGCTCGAAAAAACTAAATTTTTCACAGCATGTTTTTTTGAAAAAATTCCAACAAAAAAATAAATGATTTTCAGTTTTTTTTTTGCAAATTAAAGTCTTTCAGAGTAATGATAATTTCTGCTATTCGGTCATTTAAATCTAACAGAAAGGTTTCATAACTTACGGTTATATTTATTCATATATTTGTTTCACTACATATTAAAGACTTTTAAACTTACCGATGGCAAATGAAGTGAAGATAAATAGGGCTGAAACCCTGAAGACAACCATTGCTGTACGCTTGTACTCCTCCTAGGGCATGCTATTGATGTAATTTCATTCTTGAAATCTGACGTTACGTCCTATTGTATCCTCATAGCGGAGTTTAATCTGAAAAAACAGTAAATACGTTTTGCATTGGTATGAACAGTAAAAACATTATGCACATGAAATATATGTCTATAATGTAACTGTACGTTCGCTAATCAACAGTATGTTTGAAATTTTTAAGTACATGCACATCTTCAACGGAGATAAAAGAGTATAGTTATTGAACATTTCTTTTAAATTATTTTTATAATGTAATTTTAGCTGAAAATCCTTCAAAATATGAAATAGCTATTACCCGTGGGAGGCAAATTTGAAGATCAGTTGTGATATTAAATAGTTGAGGCCGAATTTAAGTTTTGTTGCAGTTCATGTTTATATGATCATGTGTGATACATGGTGTGATCATGTGTGATACATGGTGTGATCATGTGTGATACATGGAATATGATCAGGTGTTACATTTTTGAAGTGTTTTTAGTAGTTTGTATAAACATAAATTAGAATGTTTGATTAAAAATTGCATTATGTTAAACGTATTCATTAATTTAAATTACAATGCTTAATATGATAAATAATTTTCGAATTTTCGCTAACATATATGAATTGCAACATAAAAGGGTTGTGTGTCCCAGTTTTAATATTAATTAGCAGGAGGTTGTGGAGACATTAGGTTTTTTTGTGAAGCAGAAGATATGAAAAATTAGTAATGCCCTCTTCGGGAATAGGGCCTTATAGGAATTAATGTCATAAATAATGCTGCGTAAATCTGATTAGACAAGTAGAGATAGCAGCTGCGTTGATACCATTGATGGAGAAAATGCAACAAATCAATGGATACATTATATCAAGTATCACTGTACGGATTGAGGGAAACTCAGCGACCAGAGAAGGGTATTTTTAAGGTAATATTTAAGCTACTGCAATACGATACAGACAGTCTTAAGTAAGCAATGCCTTTCCTTGAAAGCCATCTTGCGTTTCACACAGATCGCGACGGTTCCATTTAACTAACCAAATGCGTTTTTGCTTAAGTCTGTATTAGATGCCTAGACATGGCAACATATCTTCGAGAGCTTAAACAGGTCTCCTTTATTACAATGTAAAAATAACTATGAAAAGTCTTCGCTTTTGCATCGAGCCTTCTTTGTTATTGATCCAACGCGACCGAAAAGGATCGAATCATGCACATTGATTCAGCAGATATAGGAAAAGAAAACTGTCGATATAACCTTATAGAATCTTTGTTCCTCTGATTGACTTCAGTTTCCCAAAGTAAAGAAACGCGCGGACATTCTTTAATAAATGTCTCTAATGCTTTGGATTTCAATGTTTCATAACTTCTCACTTTTCTTTATTACACTGATAATTTATACTTCATTACTGTCTACTGCATTGCTGATCTTTCGCTGTTTTATTGTTGCTGCCATGAACTTTTTACTTCTCGGTTACTGTTTCTGAGGGTTAATGTTTGCTGAGTATTGATGCAATAATTTTGGATTTCAAGATAATATAGGTTTAAATATTATACTGAAATTTATTTAATATGATAAATTTTACTCTAAACTATTTTAAAGAATAATAATAAATTAAACCCACATGTGTATCATTGACTTCGGACAGTATCGCAAAGAAATAAACTGTATCTTAAAAAAGAAGTGTCATTCCAGTTTAAAGATATGCGTGCTTCAGCATCTTCCTCATTGGAACAGCTACTAGACTTCCCGATTTTGAAATATTTCGTATCGGAAAGTCTTTATGTTATCAACCAACTGTAGAACCAATCTACCTTTCAAGGTCAAGGAATCCTCTAATGGCGACTTAAACGCCTGCAGTGCCATCTAAACGTGGCCTTGATAACGAAACGACTGGAACCCCATAAAGCACAATCAAATCGTTTTCCGACCTAGATTTCGCCCTCAAAATAACATTAAGACGTCTTATTTTTTAATTGTCTGCAGTCATTAAATCAATTTACTAACTTTTCAGCAGAAGAACGTCGTTATCTCTTACATCTGTGCTGGGTAAATATCTCTTGCTTTCTTAGCTAAATCCACGTAGAAGACAAAAAGCAAGCTTTTATTCAGAATTATCTCATCGGTTCACCGAGCGCCAGAGCAGTTTAATTAAGCATTAACCCTTAGCATGTTTTTCGATTCGATAAGCAGTGTCTGACCCCAAAAATGTTTGCTTTTATTGATTTGTTTTAGAAGTTCATATTAATGCGTAAATTTATCTGCCATGATCAAATTTATTAAAATTACTTTTTGTAAATATGAACCGAAAAATCATTGCTTAGAACGGACTTAAAATGAACTTTCTAAGTACAAACTTGCATTCAGGGTTCTGAATAAAAAATTTTGGTAAAGGTTCTGAATCGTAACGAGGAAATATTTTTCGCTCATCCATACATGTGCAATTTAAAATATACCATATAATGTTATATTTTGGAAAGCATATGCATTATCAATTTTGTACATAAAACGTAAATTATTCTCTTAGAAAGTTCTTCCTAAAGACATCCAACATCTGAGAGAACTATCGCGTGCATTTCGAAAATTGAAATAGATCCAGTTAATTAATATAATATAGTAATAATAAATAGCACTCCATGTAAATTGGGAAGTTTCATTAGAGTAATTTTTCTCTGCAAGAATAAAAGTTATAATGTATACTAAATTAGACTATATCCATATGAATTTGTTGCTTCTCATTTTTTTATCTTTGTTATAGGCATCAGAGTTACTTATCCAAAATGAAAGAAAAAATATACAGTACTCCGAAGAAGTACCGTACATCTCTTCTTCATGACAGCTATTCACTGAAAGAAAATTCAGAATGGGAATTAGATTCATTAAACTTGAATCTTAAAATGATTCACGTCAGTTTCTTCTTCTGAGTTATCTAACTAAATAATATGTTGCTTACATGATTTATTGCATTAGCTATTGAGAGGAAAGATCGTTTCGGAGGATTAATGACCCATTGACGTAGTATTTCGTGCGTAAGTTAACTCTGCGGAACGCGATTTTGCCGTACGCGCAATGTGTAAGTGACGCAACCCCTACGTTTGGCAGGGGTTTACTATATATTTATAAAATTTTAGATAAATTTTCAAATACAAGGGAATTATCCCTTTCTTTTTTCAACCACAACAAAATCTCTCAAAATTTTGTCTTATGCAATATGTCTTAAATTCAAGCTAAACATGTCAGGCATTTACTTGTCTTTGCTCGAATATCGCATTAATATTTTGTTTTCCAAATTGATAAGTATTAAAATTCTTATTGCGATATATGAGGTAATACGTAAATATAGCAATACATTTTTGGGGAATTTTCGGTAATAGTAATACATTTTTTGGGAAAAAGATTCAGTTTCAGCGTAATCATCGAAATGGATGTTAATATTATTTCACTTGAAAATCGGGAATTGTTTTATGAGGTACAAAAGTAAAAGCATTTCGATGGCTTGAATATTCTAGGTAGTTAGTGGAGTATTAGATTCAGTTGCTGACCAAACAATATTTTATATCTAATAATAAAAAGTAATAAAAATTACGTAAATAGTACTAGTAAAAATATAGAGTATTTTGAAGACAAGAAAATTTGAATTTTTCACCTTGAAATTTCAGTAGCTGAAAATTTTCTTTTCAAAAGGTTGCATGTCACTTTGCAGAAACGTTTTTCAGCTTCAAATAAAATTTCTTTGCTATAATAGCTACATTACCTGCTTCGTTTCTTAATATTTTAAATTTCGCTTAGATTCTCTTAGATCAATACCAGTTTGAAAAACTAAAATTAGTTATCACTGAAAACATCTAAAAAAAAAAAAAAAAAACTGATTTTGTATAAGGATGATACAGAAGCCAACTATCTATTAAGGAAACAGTTTATATCCGCATAAATAAAAGTGCGCGAAATGCTTTAGCAAACATAAGAATAGACGGAATAGACGGAAATTCTAAAGTTTCGGTCTCTCTTACCATTCTATAAAGTCTGCAAGTTAATATCTGCTGTTTTGATAACTCACACGATCGTGATAAATATATCAATATTTAAGATTCTTCCCTGTTCACTCTATAAGCTAGAGATAAATATAGATTTTTACTATTTTTGAGACTGAATTTCTGAATATGTTAAAAACCATTGAAAAATTAATACAGTTTTCGATAAATTGTTTTACTAAATCATAAAAGTACTATTTGTTTGTCGGCAGCAAATGATGTCACTGTACAGACAAATGTTTCAGCTTCAAATAAAACTTTGCTATTCTTGCTACATTACGTGCTTCGTTTGTTAATATTTTAAATTTCGCTTAGCTTCGTCTCAGTTAAGCATAAAGTATTTTTCTCTAATTAAGTAACGTGCAAACAATTTTTTATAAGCAATTACTGCTTCAATTTCACTTAAAAGTATCAAAAATGTTATATTTATATAAAAAAAAAACAAATCAAAGTATGATTACTGTACAGGTTAAGAAGAATGTTATCAATACGAAATACAAACAAGACCCAGGATATAATATATAACTTTTACTGCATCAAGAAGAGTAGTATGCCATTAATAACACACAGTAAAATAATGTATTATTTTTGTGTTCTAATAATTTCATATCAATACGAAATATTATCACATAATATGAGGATATAATTGAACCTGTCGGTCTGATTGAAAACTGGCATTATCCAAACATTTAACTTTGCGCCATAGGATTCTGAAACTTATCCTAAATTTCATATAACTTTATTTATCGTTTCGTGAAGAATTATTTATTTGTCTTCTGAATTCAGCTGAGGTTTATGTTTGAAGACTTCGGTTTTCAGATGTGCTAAGAAATCGAGATAGCGAAATGAGAGATTTGTTGAAATGCCAGCGATGGGAATCCCGATTAAGACACATTGCAGCTCTACGCAAAGAATTATTTCAGGTAGGAGCCTAATTTCCTGAGTTTTATAACAGAAAAAGAAGATTATAGGAAATTATGAGATGATTTTGAGAACACTTGAAAGTGTTGAACTCTGGGTAGAAATAAGTTCTCCCCTCTTATTGACATAAAGAGCT